TGTGGAGTCTCCTTCTCTGGAGATATTCAAAGCCCGCCTGGACGAAGTCCTGTGTAGAATGCTCTAGGTGAGCCTGCTTTAGCAGGGGGGTTGGACTAGATGATCTCCCGAGGTCCCTTCCAACCCTTGCCATTCTGTGATTAATACCGGCTCGTAGGATCCGAGGGAAGCTTGGACTTCCCTCCGAAACATCTTTTGTTAACCTTGTTTTGATAACCTTAAAAAGATAACGCTCACCCTTAAAAGATGCTTGTCCCCTCCATTCCTGTTTGGAAGCTATTCCAAAATGTTGCTCCTGGAAGGACAGCATTTCATCGTGGCTGATGCAGCTGTACTTTTTTTCCTATTGCTTAGCTTAAATTCTGCTAGGTGGGGGTTTTGCCATTGCGGGGTTCAGATATTTCATATTCTGCAGCGATTATTTTTCTCTCACCTTTGCTGTTCCCTGTCACCCTACTAGCCCTTCTCTGTACCCCTCTGCTTTCCAGGAAGATGAATTCAAACTGAATTCCCAGACCTGTAAAAAACCTTACAGAGCAATGTTCCCCTGGCTTGAAACAGCTTTTTTGGCATTTTCTTCCGGTTTAAGCAGGCCGGTAGATATCCAGCTTGCTTTCTTAAGTATAATGTCTTTTATCAGCTGCATCACCTTCAGTCTCAAAGCTATTGCTGCAGGTGCTCCTTGTTGGAAAGAGACCAAATTTCATCAGCATCTCCCCACGATTAAACAGCCCCAAACCTCCCTGCCATACTAATCCTGGAGCCATCTGCGGATCTTTGTTATCCTGTTACCTGCCTGCTTTATTTCTGTAGGGATGGGGAGGATTTAACGGAAGATCAATCAAATTTCCACTTGTTTAAACATCTTTCCCCGTCTTAGCATTACACATCCTAAAGCCTTTCTAGTGGGAACCTCGTACTGTCATGTGTCACGATATGAGACAGCCACTGGCGTCTTCCCCTTGCCTGTCACGTTACCTTTTCTACTTCACATCTGGTACTTTTAGCCGTGCTCCTCTTGGGCAGAAGACCCTTCTGCTCTGGATCTGCTCTGGTTAAAGGCCTGTCAGTCCTTACCAGCGAGTCCCCGGCTACGGGATCTCCTTCCCTCCCTTCTGCTCTGCCTTCTGCTCGTGCCGTCACGTCTCCCGCCCTTTCACATCACCCGCGTATCATTCACATTCTCTCTTGGTCCCTGGCTGCCTTCGTTTTCTTTCTCTGCTCATCTCCTTTACTGTGCCGTGTCTGTTCATAATCCTCATCCCCCGTTGTAATAAAATTTTTCGAGGTGTTTAGCAGACCCATTCCGTCAGACTCAGCCTTGCTGCGGGCAGTTTTATTGTCTTCCCTGGTTGCTGACTGTGTCGAGTCTTTTGACTGATCCCTCATTTGGGTTTTCTGACCAACTCTCCCTCGGCTGTGATGAAAAGCGGGGAACCTCTGCCTGTACCCCAAGTCATTTAATGGCCAGTGGATGTTTGAGATCTAGAGCACCTTCCATGGCCACAGCGTAAGTGATGGTGTCCCACAAATGCTTACAGAGGACTTAATTACACCGGAATAAGTTAGTTCCTTTCCTCTACAGCCTTCTTGTAAGACGATGGTGGTGTCTTTCAGGCTTGCACTTGAAGTTCTCTGTGCTCGAAGGTTCAGTGTTTGAGTTGCGTTGTCGATTCGAGAGAGTCCCTGGCTAACTACTTGTTTTAAAAGTGCCTTACAGACCTTCCTGGAAATAATATCTTTGCATCTTCCCTGCACCTCTGCCCAACAAATCCTTTGCATATCAAAATATTCACAAAAATAGATATGGTGAGCTTTTTCAAATTCACTTCATCCTGTTGAATAACTGGGGAGGGGTAGGAGTTTTGCCGGGTCAGTAAGAATCAGGCAGTCGTACCTTGTTGATGCCTCGGGTTTTTGGGGGAGGGAAACACTGGGTATAACCCAAACAAAGGGTCGGCATTGAACATCCCATGAAGCATTTCACTGGGATTTTTCCCAACCGCAAATGTAGCACCTGGTTTTATAAAGGTTAATTCCATCAAAGAAACGAGTCTTCATAATTTGTAGACAAGAAAATATTTCTCCATTATTCAGGGCGCAGACAAAAGACCAGAAATACAAATAAAGGCCAGGACCTCACAGCAGCTGAATCTTTTGTTTTACTCAACAGTGGGCTGTACAACACGCTCGGTCGTGCTCCCTAGAGCCACGAAACAAAGGAACCCTGTTGATGTTTACTTTGGCTCAAGGCAGAGACAGTTATTTTAAATGAGTTAATAAATGGAGTAGTGAACTACGCTGGGTTGTATAATCATCTTTTCTCTTTCCTCCTCTCTCTAGGTCACTCAGATGAGTCGTCCAGATTTGATTCTCTTTCTCATGAAATATCTCATGGCTTTGGTCGTTGGGATACCCTCTGTCTTCTGGGTTGGAAGCAAAAAGACCTGTTTTGAGTGGGCTAGCTTCTTCCACGGACGCCGGAAAAAAGAGTGCGTATTGATACTTCGTAGATAAACTGGTTGAGCACTGGCCAACCCTCTCCTCTTCCCTTGTAGACTGGAAGAGTATTTGGTCGGTTTTTCATGGATTCAAAGACAGGAACAGATAGGGGCAGCTTTCTCAGAAATCTCTCGCTATCCAAAATGGGGCAAGGAAGGGCAAGACAAGTAACAGCTCAAAAAACGCCTGAGGAATTGTTGCTTCATTTTCCATAATGATTCTTTGGTCCCAGAATCAAATCTGCGTTTGCTCTGTGGGTTTTCAAAATGTTTTTTAACAAGGATTAGGTTTCAGCTGAATATTACAACTTCTCTGCCATTTACTGAGAGGTGGAATTGCAAGTTTTTATTTATAAACGTGCCTCTGTAGTCAACTGAATCAGCTCTTTAAATTGAAATTAAGCCTAAGTCTTTTCACTGTGACTGCAGTTCAAGGCGACTGCCTCTGCTTTTAACCTTCCTTTACGAAGCACAGTTGGATAAAATGACAGTAAGAAAGTCTTACAGTTTTTTTGAGATTGAAACTAATTTAGACTAAGGTATGGCCTCAGTTTAGAGACAATCTGTATGATGGGTAATGGTTTTAAACTAAACCAGGGTGGGTTTAGACTGGATCTAAGGAAGAAATTCTTTACAATGAGGGGGGTGAAACCCTGTCAGGGATTGCCCAGAGAGGGGGTGGAGGCCCCATCCCTGGGAACATTCCAGGCCAGGTTGGCCGGGGCTGTGAGCAACCTGATGTGGTTCAAGGTGTCCCTGCTCCTGCAGGGGGGTTGGGCTGGGTGACCTCTGGGGGTCCCTTCCCACCCAAACCATTCTGTGATTCTATGATTCTATGATTCTATGATTCTATGATTCTATGATGTAATAGCTATGACTAGCTACTTTCATAATCGTGAATATTGTCTTGTAAGTGGATGTTTCAAAATAGATGCACAAGTACAGCCGGCCTGTAAGCGACTGCTCCATGACGTTGACTGGCACATCTGTAACAGAACTGGCTGTCTGCTGAGGCTGAAGCAGAATTACCTTCTGTAAAGCTGAAGACAATTTTCCCTTATTTGAAAGATAACCTACTGAGATACGCACGGGGTTAACGATGACCTGGCATGACTTTAATACATGCACATACACTCAGCTAGGCTTTATATCGAGGTGACGTACTAGTTTGGTGGGCAGAGGACAGGAATAGAGTTAATGAAGGCGGAGGAAGCTGTTTTACAGGACTGCCTTATCTCGGACGCGCTGTCTCGGGGAGAGCTGGGTGGCTCCTGGAGGTGCCATCCTCTCTCCTGGTGCAGCCGGGCAGCAGCGCCGCTCCCAGGCGCGGCGGCGTCTGGCCGGAGCCAGATTCCTCTGCCGGCCCCATTCACTGAGCAATAAGGGGCAGAGCCGATACAAACCTCCCTCCTCCGGTAGCCTGTGATCCTCTGTGAGCACAAAACTGAAGAGGGGGAGCTAGCCAGGCGGCGGAAACGGAACATGAAAGAATAATATAGAGAATGGGAGGGGAAGAAAAGGCATCCCCACAAAAAAGAGATTAAAAAAAAAAAAAAGAAAAAAGGAACGTCGAGGGTGTGATAGCATCTCCTTTCATCGTGCTACGGTAGAGCAGCCAAGTGTGCACCCCTCTGCCAGCCCTTCCCAGCAAGGGATTTCAGCGAACAGAGAAGCCGTGGGACTGTACCCACTGATCTAAGGGCTCCAGGCCGGCTGCGTGTGCATTGGTTGATATGTTGTATTTCATCTGGCGCGCGCCTCCTGCTGCCAGTTTTAATCCAGATTTTCAATGCTCGTTTGAGTGAGGTAGCGGCTTCCCACGTTCCCTGAGAAGCAGTTCCCTGGGTAAGCTGAGCTCGCCGAGTCGCAGCGCTAGCCCAAGGATTTTCATGTAGCAATATGCGTAAGCTAAGGCCATAAGCAAATACGGTGCCGTCCTTCCAGGCGTCTAGGCTAGAGGATCAGGAACAGGGATTGGGAAGGATTCAAGAATCTGAACTTTGCTAAAATATCCAGGTGCAGAGGTGCTTCAGAATTAGGCAGGTAGAGACATTGTAATATAAATAGGCAGTCTTACTTGCCAAGCCGTAATATTTGTCTCTTCTGTTTGTAAAATAGTCCTAGGGCTGTTACTGCGATCGCTTTGTATCGCAGTCATCCCTGTTAACTGTTCAAACCACGTGTCTCGTTCAGAGTCGTCAATGAGAGTCGTCAGGTCCTGCAAGAGCCAGACTTTGCTCAGTCTCTTCTGAGAGACCCCAATACCCCCATCATCCGGAAATCGAGGGGCACGTCGACCCAGGGCACCTCGACTCACGCCTCCTCTACCCAGCTGGCAATGATGGACGACCAAAGGAGCAAGGCAGGCAGCGTCCACAGCAAAGTGAGCAGCTACCACGGCAGCCTGCACCGATCGCGTGACGGCCGGTGGGTTTCTTCTCCTTAAAATCTTGTAGAAAATCGGGACAGGCCTCTGCTAGCCGGGCGTTTGGCCATTGGGTCGCCAAAATGGGAAGTTCTGCTAAGATTTACTTTCTTTGATTGCATCTCCTCTCCCCGTTAGTGTCTGGATTGGAAAGAGAAAAAAAAATCACGATATTTTCAGCGTCTGCGTGAATTAGTCGGCGTGAATGTGTTCAGCGCTGGTTTTCCCGCAGAGGCAGCGATCCGCGTTACGTCATCTAAGTGCGCGGGCAAGCAGATCTCTCCCGAAGCCAGCTTAGTATTTTTGCGGCTGCTTTTGTCTGGGTGCAATTGATTTTGTTTCTGCACATCGTCCTAGCCCTGCCGAAATGAACAACAAGTTACCCGCTCTGACTTGAGGTGTAGTTAAGGCTTGTACGATAACTAACATCCGGCGGTTTACTGGCCCCATCAGCGATACCGTACGTCGCGCTGTAGGGAGAACCAAGCGGCGTGAGGAGTTGAAACGATTCGCCCCGGGCTGTATAAAGGAGATGACTGCGCCAAGCAGGGAGCGAGGCTTTTCACGAACGCAGAGGGTTTGCCTGCGCGCGCCTGCACCGAGATTTATTTACATCCTTTCACGACCGCGGCGGCTAACAGTGGTAATAATTGTCCTCTCTCCTTCTCCGCTAGGTACACTCCCTGCAGCTACAGAGGCGTAGAAGAAAGACTACCTCACGGCAGCATGTCGCGACTGACTGATCATTCCAGGCACAGCAGTTCGCATCGGCTGAACGAACAGTCACGCCACAGCAGCATCAGGGACCTCAGCAGCAACCCCATGACGCACATCACGCACGGGACCAGCATGAACCGCGTCATCGAGGAGGACGGCACCAGCGCTTGAGCCGCCTTGAGCGGAGAGGAGCGGTTGATGCGGTCGCACGGCTCGCGGTCCCTTCCTCGGTGATGTCGTAACGCTCAGTATCACCGTGCCTCTCGTCGGGTGCTGATTTTCTGCATCAGGAAGCCGAAACCGGCTTCTTCGTGTTGAAGCCGGCGTTCTTGTACTCAGAGCTAGAGCGTTCAGCCGTCTTGAATTATGGCATAAAAAGCTCATTTGCCTCACTCGGACCTATCCGTAGGTAATTATTTATTCGGTAACTGTCACTCGTCAGATGCCATTGCTGAATTTCTTATTCTTTGCTGAAAAAAACCCCCCCCTCCCTCCGCTGGCTCTGCGTGTCGGTAGGTGTTACCCTTGAAAGCTCGCTGGCAGGGGCACGCCGAGGTTTATTTCTTACACGGCGTAAGGGAACTCCTGGATATTGAAGGAATTCCTCAGCGCGCCTCCCTGATGAGATCACCGACTGCCACTTGTTTGCATCCCGCGCAGGGGGAGCAGACGCACATTAAATGCTGTATAAAGGACACGCGTGCGAGTCGGCAGGCGTTTTTAATGGTTACACTGGAAATGCAACGCAGGATTGAGCGGTGTGGAGAAGGAGAGGAAGCTCCGCCGATGATCGCCAACCCTTCCCAGAGCTGTCCAGGCTCGGTTGTTGGGGTGGGGGGGGAAGAGAGAGGCAGGGAAGAGTGATTTTTGTATAACTTGTACTGTCCTTGCTTTTTTACAAAATGCTATTTAAATTTTCTACTCGTTTACAATTTAGGTAGGAAGAGATCGATTTTAAAACCAGTTACCTAGATGATATGCAGCCACTTATTTTTTAGATTAACGTACAAAAGCTGAGATTGCCTGGCCCTGATCTATTTAAGAAAATAGTACTAATAGAAAAGCTGAATTTTGGTGCCCAAACTGGAACGTTGCAGCCTTTTCCTTGCAAACAGAACAAATCCTGTTTACAAGCCCCATAGCCTGCGTGAGGAAGGCTGAGGCCGAAGCAGCAGGAGGAGTTTGATCAGGGGTGGCCCCACCTCCCTTGCGGTATCGTGGCTGTTTTGGGGGAGGGTTTGCACCGAGCAAGTGGGGAGCAGGAATTCATAGGCATGGGTGGGAGAAATGGAGGCAGGAGCTGCCCGCGGGTGGGGAAAGAGCGGGATGCAGCAGCCAGACACCCACCACATTGCCGTCTTGAGGAGGAGGAAGAGGAGGAGGAAGAGGCAGCAGGTATCCACCGTGACTTCTGGGCTCCTTCCCAGCCGGGAAGCTTGCGCTACTGATCGACCTCTCCTGCCGGTTGTTTCCTTTTCCATCCCTACGGCAGATTCACAGTCGAGAATTCTCAGTTTGGGCTTTTTTGTGTGTAAATAACCTGTTGGGGCACAGCAAGCCTTCGCTGACGCTGCAGGCAAAAGTCAAGGCACGTCGTGGCCGGCGCAGTAGATCTTCCGCAGCGTCTGCTGTCAGATTCATTCATTGCATTTAAACCTACCTCAGTGATCGCTACAGATCATCGCGGGGAAACGAGCACTTATTTTTTTTCCGTGGTCCTTACACGATTCCCTTTTCGACCTGTTTGAGGCAGGCTGAAAAGCCCTTGTACACGCTCAGATGGTGCAACCTTAAGGGCGGGAATGGGGCAGCAGCCCGTGGTGCGTCCTTCAGCGGCTTTCGCGGACGGCGGGAACAGAGCTGCGCTACAATTACTCATTTTAATTGTAGCTGATGACACAACAGCAGAGCATGTAACCGTGCGCTCTTTGAAATCTAAGGTTGCCCTGGGAGTCGCGCTGTCTTAGAAATGTATTTACCGTAAATTGTCTGTCTTGCTTCCAGCGGCTTTTACTCCAAAGCAGAAGCACGAAGCAAACCCAACGGGGAATAACAAAGCTTAGCAACAACTCCGCGTGCTCTTTATTGTCAATCCAGGGGGGGAGGCTGCGGCACCGGCCGCCCCGGGGCAGAGCAGGCTCCGCTTTGCTGTTGGCTCGGCCGACGGCCCCGCGGGACGTCCGCAGGGATAACTGGCCAGAGGCGCTAGCTCACCTCTTTCACAGCGGATGGGTATGAAAGATCTTTTAAGTGACTTAAACTGGCAAAACTACAACTCCCCGTAAGCCACGGAGGTGGCACCTCTTTTATTTTCAGATTCGGCTACTGCTAAATAACTTGCTGCTTCAAAGGGATGATGGTTTTAGGAATCTGGATCTGCAGAAGGAGCTGAGCTTCCCTAAACACCGTAACCGAACTTAATAAGCTCAAGTCTTTACGTTGATCTTCTTGGCAAAATTTCCGGTTTTGTTTGGTTTTTTTCAAATTGTAGCAATGCTTTGACTTGTTTAGAGTCAGGGAGGGGAATGATGGTGGAGGTTTGAAATACATCCTGCTTGAAATGTTGCTAATTTGTGAGGTTTAGTCCCTGTATTGTTTCCAGGCGGGAACGTCTAAGCTGCTCCTTGCTCATGTATCCTGTAGGCGAGGGACAGACTCCTATCACCCCGGAGAGGTGACTAAAATGTAAAACTCGAGTTCTGGCTGGGTTTTATTCCCTTTCCCCCCCCC